GCCTAATCGAATTTTTCTGAGCATTCCAATTTGTCTTGTCTCGTATGTTCCATACTCGAACATGCATAATGTGGTTCGTGAGGAATCTTTATAAAAAATAATTTAAGTAAAGATTCTTTTATTCCTATCTGATATTAGTGTTTCATCAATCTACTTTTAGCTGGTACAGCTAAAAAAATCGATTGTGACGATATGAGTCGGATATCACAATCGAAACATCTGTCAGCTTCAACGGGTTTCTGTGGTGAGCATTTTGAAGTAAACCTCTTCGTGCTCATCCCTTCGTCAGCAGTAAAAAGTGCCTCTAGTAAGAACTTGGGCCAGCTGCCAGTAGCTTTACCTGTGTATCCTTATTTCCTCATTCAGCTCACCATTTGTCAAAACCCATGGTTAATTTTGATGCCTTCTTTTAAAATTGTTCGTTTCTGAGCACAATGTCTAGCCAGTCTAGATTTTTTTATTTTTATACTTGCACGGCAAGCTACAGTAATTTCTTCAAGTGACAATTATTTTTCAGCACATGCAGGCATTAAGTCCCACTTAGCAATCCCTATATTATGTATGCATGGTGAACAACATATAGAAAATGGTCGTAGTTATATTGATTGCAGACTTTTGAAAGCTTTTATTGTTTTGTTCTAGAACAAATGGCAGGCTCAAGTGATTACTTACTTTTTTTTTTCCTAAGCTCGCGTACGTGACGTATGGGCCATTTGGGATAGAAGTTTTACCTGATATTTTTAGAAGTCGGTAGGACCTTTTTAACTTAACATTAGCGTTTCCTCACTAAAATTTTTGGTTTCTTTCTTCTCAGACCTTAGCTAAATGCAAACTTTCGATCCATAAAAGAGGATTTGTTTTTGTGCTAAATGTGGTGAGTTGTGCAATGACCAAGTATATGTATAATCCAAGAAGTGATAGACGCTGCTTTTCAGGATCCGAATCATTGTGCGGCACTTTTACAGTGGATTATTTCATGAGTCATAACAGACAGGGATCTACTTTTATACATACTCTTAATCCCATCGGAAACACATACATAATACATAAAAATCAGAACTCAGCACTATAAGCCCAAACAGAAAGTAAAAGAAAAATTTATTTCCTATATTTGATCAACTATTTGAATGATTTTTTGATGTTGACATGGCTGTTGCCGTCCTTTTGAAGGAACCGTCGCGTCTCAAGTTCTTGACCAGTTCTCGCATTTCGCGGTTTAGCAGGAGATATGCTATGCTGTTGCTAGAACCTGAAACATTTTACGGATGTAATCATGAATTGAACCAGCTAACATTTATCACATTTACCTGCACATAAACGCCCAATTATGTAGAAAGGCCCGACAATTTGGAATATTGGGATGTCGAACATATCAACAAGGCCAACAATTGCACTTGGTATTGTGACAAAGAATAAAGAGACGCCCAGGATCTCAAGTGAAATACGATTTCCCTAATGAATGGTACGAAGTTCGTATAAAAAAGGGATTGTTTTGTCTTACCTGTTTGAATCTGCTGATTTTCTTGTTCAAAAACATTCTTGATTGCGGCTGTTTTTTGATAAAACGCAGTTTCACAATAATCGTCAAAGTCAAGAAAATTACCATGAAACTCATGATCTAAGTCTAAAGTATCTTCTCTTCTGATTGAAAATGATGTCCTTTTTATTACCATGTTGCTCATTCCCCAATAGCGGCGGAAAGCATAGCTAATGAAGCAGCCAAATGCAGAGCAGCCAGGATTTCTTCTAACAGGTGAGAGAAAAAAAAGTAAGATGAGATCGCAAGTGCCAATGCTTACTCCAAGCAATACTGAGCACACAGCATACTTGGCGGCAGACATCTTGTAATAAAGCATTGGAGTGAATAAGGCCTGAATCAGAAAATTGTTTCTGAATAGATTCAGTTTGGATGAGCTTTGAGAACTTCCTAAAAATGAAATCCAAGCATACTATGACACTCAAGGGCAGATTATTAAAATTGACTCAACCTATAAACTTAAGGTTGGAACACAATCTCTATTTGAAGTGCAATGATCCGTAGTTCTCTTTATCTTGAAACATGGGCATCATTGTAGAAAAATACTTTTTCTATTTAACAGGCGCGACAAGGTGCAAATGTGTCTTCCTTTAAAATGGCAGAATGGGAATTGTTGAAGAGAGTAGACAAAGGAGGAGATGCACTTGCCCCAAAAGGTACTCATAAGGTTTCTTTCCACCGCTATCGCGATAGTCAGCGTGAGGTTGACTTTAAGTTGTACCACAAACGGTGTGGTAGAGATCATCACATAATAAGGATCTAAGTCCAGCTGAGCAGGCGCCCACTGTGACGTCAAGTAGATCGTATATGGAAGTGCTATAAAAAAGTTAAACACTTGAGGGTCTGTTTGTATGAAGAATTAAACCAAAAAATTTGCTTTCACTATCAAAAAATCAGCTGTTGTTGAAACAACACGATCGTTAAGAAACATTTCGTACTTGCTACAGCGTGGACGCAGTCGGTGATGGCCATGAATAATATTAAACGCAAAGAAGCATTCATGAGCAGTTTCTTTACTCTAAAATGAGATGTTAAGGAATAAGTAATTTTTAAATTATTTCTATCATTATCTAAGTGTTTGAATAGTTCTATGAAAGATCTCCCTTTGAAATTATCTGCTCACTGTTCTGATACTGCTATTTTGTGTACATTATGGTGACTAGTTTGCGTAGTTTTTACATATACACAAGTAGCGTTATAAAATTGTCCCTATTTCAATGTCACATTCCCATTACTCAGTTAGGAGCTATATTTGATTAATTCTGAACCCATTTCAAACACATATCCCGGATCTACTTTGTTCTACACAATATTTGCGTTATCTTCTCATGCAACTCTATTGCACCAACTTAGTGAACATATACAACCAGGATACATTATCCTCTCATGAAGCTTAAAAAGCTTAATAATCACAAGCTATATGGTCTCATCACAGTGTTGCAAAAATGATTTGCATTCGCGCAGGTACGTGTAAATTAGGAAATTTTTTCTTCAGTAGAATGTATTAGTACAGCTGAGAAAATCTATGATATTAGTAGCTAACAGCCTGTCATCAGGTAAGTCGAAAATGCATTGAATGATTTTACGAGGCAATAGGGGTAACTACACTGGCTTACCTCAAAAACATGAAAAGAAGGAAACCACTGCAGAAAATGTCGGTACATTGA